TTTTTTTTTTTTTTTTTTTTTTTTTTTTTACCGAAAAATTGCGCACAAGGTAGCTTTTTGCCTAAATAATATGAACAACTTGAACAACATGAACAGGTCAAGCCGCGCCGTTGAAAATCGCCTGAACAGGTCATTTTTTTTTTTTTTTTTTTTTTTTTTTCTTGCCCCAAAATTGTGCACAACGGTGTTTTTTTTTTTCAAAATATGAACTATATATGAACAAGGCAGCTGCACTGTTGAAAATCTCCTGAACAGATATATTTTTTTTTCCCCATTTGACAAAAAATGACACGCTAGTGAAATACTTTGCAGGAAAATGGAACATACTTGGGAAGATCACAGAATGGGTGGAAATGGAAGGAACGAAATTACGAGAATGAGCTGATTTCTTAGTGGATCATCCTGATGTATGCTCTCAAACGGAACAGTCACGCATTACGCTGTACAGACACATGTAGAGGTCACACCTTACTTAGGGGAAAGCACACAAGTGTAGACAGCCGATGACCAAACCGAATGTTCATTGCGCGAATAAGTAGCAAGGATAGACCCTCTTGGGCAAGGCCAAAGCTTACGGTGTTGGACGCAATCACATAACCTTGATAGCATCATGGAAAAAGGGAGAAGGACAAAACAGGGGAGGAATGCCTCTCATAAGTAAATCTGTCAGCCACGATGAGGATGTATTCCCTTGGAGCAAATTCATGGAACGTATATTTCCGCCTAGTGTGGTTCCCTGATACGCTGGGGGAGAAAACTCCTTGCCAAATTTCACCCATTAGTGTGTGCATAGGTGAATCGAAAAGAGGGGAAAGGTGTGTGCGTGATCCCAGAACGTTTGAATAGCCATTTGGATATCCCCTTTTTTTTTTTTTTTTTGCTAATTTGTGTATAGCTCAGCGGTGAAGCCGTAAGGATGGACGCGAAATGGCGCTTGTCGCGCATAGGGAGATTATGGTGCACTCCGGCTCCGAAAGAGAAAAAAAAAAAGGGCTTCATCGAGAGGCTGAAAATGGGAGGGGTTCATTTCGCACGAGCATACAAACGTAGCTCGAAGTAGACACACCCGTAGAGGCGCATATGTGTGTGGCGGAAAAAAAAAAAAAAAAACAGAAACAAAGCGAAACGAAACGGGATGCAGCAAAACTATACGATGCGACGCGGCAGGAAGAACGCCCTGAGGAGAAAACGACTGAATAACACATAGATGGTGAGAAAAAGAAAAAAAGAAGGTGACAAATTTGACTAAACACTTTTTGTAGGAAAAAAAATGCAAGGATGACGCTGCTTGCGGATATGCACACGTTTTCGCATTTGTAGACCGGCAAGTAGTTTTCACTGCTCGCAGGTTGACGGCGCGTGCCCGTTTGTGCGACCCTCCTCCGCCAGGGTACGGGCTCCAAAAATGAGCAGTGCAGCGAGGCGGTGCGGTCACACAGCGCAGTTTCGAGGCGCGACATCGTCCTGCTTAGTTACGACCCGTTAGTCGTGCCGATTGATCACACACGGTACTGCACTTGTACTACGCGGTAGTAAGCCACCACACCGCCGCTATCCCCCATGAACAAGGCGGAGGAGCAGAACGGCGGCGACTGCGCGCCGAGCGAAGAGGCGGAGGAAGTGCTGCTTAGCGCAGTAGCCTTTTTCAGCCCCGAGGGGGGTGGGCTGCAGGAAGGCGCGCTCAGCAGCATTCGGACAGACGAAAACGCAGTGAAGCTCCTAAACGAGTTCACGCAAAGCGAAGAGGATTGTCTATTCGTATTTAACGAAAAGGACACGATCAAATTTTATGGATCCATCCTAGACTTACAAAAAAAAAAAAAAAATGAGAAATATTTAATCATTTACAAAACGACACAAAGTAAAAAGCCACTTTTCTTGGAAATGAACAATGATGCAGAAAATGTGACGAGGAAATTTTTGGAAATTTTTTTTTCTAATTTTATGAACAAAAATGACGAAATCAATTCTTCCTCTCTGTTGAAAGAAATGAAAAAAAAGTTTAATAATTTTTTGCTCAACTTGAGAATTATCTATGGAGAGTTACAAGAGAAATTAACTTTGCCACTCTTACCATCTGGAGAGAAGGAGGAAGAGGAGGACGACATCAACCACGTGGAAGAGTACTTAATACATTTCATCAAATGCTACCACGTAATTTTACGCAATTTTGTAAACTACAAGAAGAACAAGTACGAAAATTGTGAAGATTTCCTGAGTTGTTTAAAACATAAAAATGAAGACATCAACTTTTTGTATGGCGAAATAGAGAAGGAGAAATTCAAGCAGATTGTACACACCATTTTGGAAAGGAAAAAAAACTCCAGTTATAAGAACATTATTGAGAACATTAGGAGAGAAATTGTGGATCTCAAATTGGAAGTGTTCGATTTGTATACACATCTAAAGCCAGTTATTCACTTTTTGCAAAAATTGGAAAATAGCAGAGAAGAAATTGAGAATAAAAATGTGTTGGTTGCTCCGATTGTGCATGCATTGTCTTTATCACTGGACAGGTCAGAGTATTTAATTAAGAACTGCAAATTTGTGTTTGACTTTCTTTCTAGGGTTCTTATAAATTCTTGCAAGAAAAATATGAACACTCCAGAAATTATAAACTCCATTTATAACTGTGTGGATGTGTTGAAGAGCAAGTTGTATGGGACTTTGAATTTTCTGCTGAATTTTTTATACCTCTTTAGGATCTACCGAGAGAAGAATACCAAGCTCCGTTCTTTGAGTGAATCCTGTGGGTGGAGCAATCCAGCGAGGGATACACAGAATGATGAAACTGAGCAGGAGTGTACCTACTTCCCTTCCGTTAGTCTCTACATTTACAAACTAAAGCTTCTAATCGAATACCTAAAAATTTACCAAACGTACATGAAGTTGGAAAAAATTGAAATTCCTGGTGAGAAGGGGAAGAAACTGACCGAGGAGGTACACACCATCTTGCGCGAATTCAATTCCATCAATGAGACCTTCTTAGACATTAACCACGAGATCATGAATGAGGAAGAAACTATTTTTATAAACAAGTACAACCAGTTTGAGGACAAGGTAAAGGAATTGAACAAGCGATTGATCTGCGTTTTTGTTCACTCCTTTGACAAGGATTTGAAGAAAAATATCAAATTGCTCAACTCGTTTTTAATTTTGCGGGACTTGAGAGCCATCGAGGTGGAGCTCATTCGGCACGCCTCTCTACTATGCGAGGATTTGAAGAGGGAGTTCATTCTGGTAGACAATTTGTTCATAAAAAATATGACCATTGTGGCTCAAAACAGGGGCCTTGTCCTGGAGCAGGCCCCATCACAGGGAGGGGCATGTGGAAAAGTTAGCGGTGATGGTGGAAATTCAGCTGCGGTTAGCACCGATGGTGGTAGTCCAAGCGCTTCTCCCACCGCGGAGCTGGCGAGGGAGCAGCTGAGCCACCTGCACATCGACCAGAACGCGCCCCTGTTCTGCGAAGTGGTGAACCTTTTCACATCACTGCTGAAGCGAATCGAACAGCAGTACTTCCCGCTTCGCAAAATTGTGAAGGTCCTGAACTTTAAGGATGAAAAGACGGAAGAAATAAATGCGCTGTATCGAAGCATCAGTACTAAGATCAGCCAATACATAAGCAACATGAGCAAGGAATGGTTTACAGAAACGATAGAAGTCATGAACACTTTCCTGAACGAACCTATATTTAAGCAAAAGGGAGAGTTATTTTATGTAAATTTCCATCCACACATTTTTCTCTTCATATGTAATGTGAAGAATTTGTACCTGAACAATCTAACGGTTAATGAGGAGTGCCTGAGAATTTACAAAAGTACCAACCGATTTAAAGAATTCATTCATACCCTAAACAGCATCACGAAAAAGTACAACGACATTGTGACAAAAACGTTGGGTGTACAGAAGGACCTCTTTCATGAGAAATTGTGGAGTGTGAAGAGCACGTTAATGAAAGGGGTAAGTGAGCTCCGGTGGACACAAGAACAAATTTTTGAATACATTCAAATGGTAGACAAAGACATGACAGAAATATTTAATAATATCTCCTCTGTGCACAGTAACTTGATTTCTATTCTAAGTGTGACGAAGAGTTGGACAAGGAAACCAATCTTAGAGAGGAGAAAGAAGCATGAAGATATTTACAATTACCTGAACAGTTACAAAAATAACATGGCATTATTGAAAGGGAAATTGCTGGATGACTTCAAGAATATCCACATGAGCATGAAGCAGTCCTTTGACCTTCTAAAGATAAAGAAGAATAATATTATGTGGAAGAATTACGTAAAGTTTGTAAACAGTATAGTTACGGATAGGGTTACTGAGTTGATTAACTTTCTCTTTTCAAATCTGAATAGCATTATGAAAAATGCTGAAAGAGAAAACGAACCTTTATTTACTATTAAGATAAATTTCGTAGATCATAAGCTAAGTCTAGACTTAAAATTAAGATGTAAAAAATCATTTAGCATAACAAGTATCTTTTACAAGTGGCAGGATGACTTTATGAATCTTTGTTCAGGTATTAAAAGGATTGACACAAAGAGTGGAGACTACATGAATGAAATTCTTCTTAGCTTAAAGATTAATCGGAACAAGAATTGCATTGAAAAATATTTTGAAGCCACTATAGATAAGTGTTATGAGTATTTACAAAGTCTAAAGAAGTATGAAAATACTTGCAAGAAGGATATGAAGAAGGAATTTCTCCAATTTAAGATTCAAAATGAAGTAGCTCTCTTCCCTACCTACTTTGAATTCAACAACAATTTTAGAGACACATTAAAACTGATTAATATTAACGTTACGCATATGTTTCCAAATGTGTTGGCGTATAAAAATCTGATTTTGTCTTTGAGGAGCGAGTTGAGTAGCTTTCACCACTTGCGTAGTTACCAGGTCATCAACTTTGTAGCATTTCACTCGGAGCACTTTGTGGAAAAGTTGATTAGCTTTTCGCAGAAGGACATTTCGCTGTATATTGAATATCTGCAGGTGTTTGTGCGGGACGTGATTTACGCCGTGAGCGCCTTTTACGAGGGTGTGTTGGGCAACTTGAGGGACGCGGGAGTTAGCGAGTTCTTCGGGCAGGGCAAGAAGGGGGCGTCTTCTGACATGGCGGAGTTGAGCGCTGGGGTGACTTCTCAGATGGAAGAGTTTGGCGGTGGCAGTAGCCCCAGCGCCGCGACCGGAGAAACCCAACTGGCGAAGAGCAAGAAGGATGCCTTCTACAACCTGATGAGGAACCTGAGGAGCGTAAAGCTGAGCAGGAAAATTATCCCCCTGATTTTCCAAAAAACAAGAGAAATAATGGAGACCCTCAGGGAGCTAGGCATAACAGTGAAACATAACGAAGTGCTGGAGGAAATCGAGCGGAACAAGGAACGGGTAGAGATACAGTACAATGAAATAAAAGAAAAAATTATCAAGTACAAAAATGAGGAAATTAAAAACATCAAAGTGGAAATTAAGCTGTTTAAGGATGAGTTGAAGAAGCTAAAGAGTGGCATTTTGCAAAACATACCTAATGCACCCAAGGATATACAAGGCAACCCTTACGAAAAGATTAATGAGTACAGGAGAAGTTACCAAGTGTATAGGGATAAGCAAAAGTATCACAACGAGTTGGAGATTCTGTTCGAGCTCGACATCACGGTGTTTGATGAACTGAACGAATTGGACAGCAAGTTGAAGGAGCTGAAAAATCTGTGGGATGTTATTAATAGCATTGTATTTTTCATGGAAGAGGAAAAGAAGAAGCTTTGGACAGAGATAGACGTTAATGGAAATATATATTTAATCGATTTCGTTTCACAATACTTGAGAAAGAACTTATCCCAGATGAAGAGCATGCCAGTGTATGAACACATCATAAAGGAATTGAAAAAGTTTTCCTCCATCCTTCCGCTGCTAGTAGATTTGAACAACGACTGTATTTTCGACCGCCACTGGAATATCATCATGAACATGTCAGGCGGCGTGGAGGGGGATGATGTAGTTGAGGGGGGTAATGCAGTGGAGGGGGATAATGCAGTGGAGGGGGATAACGTGGTGGAGGGTGGTAACGTGGTGGGGGGGGATGACGTAGTGGAGAACGCGCCGAAGAAGCACCTTCAGATAAAGTACAAAGAGCTGACGCTGCAGGGATTCTTCGACCTGAAACTGTACAAGCACGTGGACGCTGTGCATGATGTGATGGAGCAAGCCAAAAAGGAAAAAAAAATTGAAAACAAAATTAGAGAAATAAGCCAAATTTGGAGAAAAATGAACTTTGAATTTTTAAACAAAAATTCTTACATTCAAATAACCAACATGGACACCATCCTCGAAATTGTAGATGTGCATACGTCTGAGATTCTCTTTTTTATAAATCAGAAGAAATATATTTTGTTCATCCAGGATACCATTTTAAAGACACAGGAAAATTTGAAAAGAATTGATGAGGTGATTAATATATGGAGAAAATTCCTGAACAAATTTGAAAGACTACAACCGATTTATCTGAACTCAGAAGACATCCATTCGCAGCTCCCACAGGAAAGTAGGATGTTTTTCAACATTGAACATGAGTACAAGGAAATCATTCTCAATGCTTATGAGCATAAGAATGTGTTACAAATTTGCTTGAACGAAGATTTATTTTATGTGCTGAGAAAGTTTTTTAAAAATATTGAGTTGTGTGAAAAGGCTCTTAATGATTACTTGGATCAGAAGAAGAAGGCCTTTCCTCGATTTTACTTTTTGTCGAACATTGCTCTTTTGGACATCCTGAGTAATGGAAAGAATCCCATGAAGATTCTTCCCTACGTGAACGATGTGTTCAACGCGATTAAGACGATTGAGTTTGGGGGTGCATCGGTGGAAGCGGTAAAAAGGGAAGCCATTCCGGAGGACGCAACCGAAGCGGTAAAAGGAGAAGTCATTCCGGAGGACGCCACCGAAGCGGTAAAAAGGGAAGACATTACGGAGGATGTGACGGAAGCCGGTGGGGAGCGGTTGCATGGTGCCTCCCCCCCTGTGACGGAGTTCACCGCGAAAGGTGTGTACAGCATCGAAAACGAACATTTGGAGTTCCCTACAGAGCTAGTGCTGAGGGGAAACGTGGAGAATTACCTGAAGGATTTGGAAACACACCTGAAGGTGACCATCAGGAGCATCCTGGAAAAGGCAAAAATCTGCTCCGAAAATTTAGACGAACAAAACAGAGACGAAACCATGATCGGAAGTTTTATCAGCCAAGTGGTATGCACATGTAACCAAATAGTTGTGACGGATGAAATCAACAAATGCTTTGACGAGCTAGAAAATGGAAACGAGTCTGCCTTCGTCGAGTACAAGAAGATACTAATCGAGCGAATAAACAAGTTAATAAAGTTGGTGGAAAGGACACAGGATTGTAACATCAGAACCAAGCTACTCTCCCTGATCATTTTGGATGTACACACGAGAGATGTTATTATTTCTTTTATAAAGAAAAAAATTTCAGATGGGACTTCCTTTGACTGGCAAGCACAGCTAAAGTACTACTGGGTGTATGACAAGAAGGCAAACAACTACACGTGCGAAATAAAGCTGTGTGATTTTAGGACAAAATATTTATATGAGTATATTGGGAACTCGGGAAAATTGGTGATTACTCCATTGACCGACAAGTGCTACATCACCCTGACACAGGCACTGAACCTGATCCTTGGAGGAGCCCCCGCAGGTCCGGCAGGAACAGGAAAGACAGAAACGACCAAGGATCTCTCCAAAGCCATAGGCATAGCAATATTTATATTTAACTGCAGTAATCAAATGAATTATTTTAATATGTCTCAAATTTGTATTGGGCTCTCCCAGACAGGTGCATGGGGATGCTTTGACGAGTTCAATCGGATCAGCATAGAAGTTCTATCTGTTGTTAGTACACAAATTAAGTGTATCTTTGATGCAATTAAAGAGAAAAAAACGGTGTTCCATTTTATTGATGATGAAATTGTCTTGAAGAAGACATGTGGGTTCTTTATTACCATGAACCCAGGGTATGCAGGGAGAACAGAGTTACCAGAAAACTTAAAAAATTTGTTTAGATCTTGTTCCATGATTGTCCCTGATATTAAATTTATATGCGAAAATATGTTAATGTCTTTTGGTTTTATTAAGGCAAATAAATTGTCGTATAAATTTGTGGAGCTATATCAGCTGTGTAAGGAATTACTTAGGAAGAATATTCATTACGATTGGGGCCTGCGTGCTGTTAAGGTGGTTCTGATTCAGGCAGGTAATTTGAAAAGGAAGTACAGCAACTATGATGAGGAAGTTATTTTGATGAAGGCACTTAAAGATTTCAATATACCTAAAATAACTCATGAGGATATTCCTATTTTTCTGGGGCTTGTGAATGACCTTTTCCCGAATGTCGACTGTGGGGATAGGTTCTTCAAGGAGGAGGTTTGTGTGGACGGGACTGATCTGTCCCACCCTGGGGATGGCCTAATGATGAACCCCTCACCAGGGACGTCTCCAGAGGGAGTAACTTCCCGCCCCGAGGCGGAGGAACACCGCGTTGTGAGCTTTGACGAGGCCATACGAAGCAGCCTCCGGGATGCCAACCTCCAAATCGACGACAATTTCATCCTAAAGGTAAAGCAGCTCAAGGATTTGATGGACGTGCGTCACTGCGTCTTCATCTTAGGAGAAGACGGCTGCGGAAAGTCCAGCGTTATTCAAATATTGATAAGTACCCTGAACAAAATCAATGAGAAATGTTTGCACGAAGTTATTAACCCCAAGTCGATTGAGTCGTATGAATTGTATGGGTACTTAAACAAAAACAACGAGTGGGTAGACGGTGCTCTGTCTTCCATAATGAGGAAAATGTCGAGGAACATATCCCCTTACAGTGAGAGCGTCAAACATAAGGTTCTCTTGTTAGACGGTAACATCGATGCGGAATGGATAGAAAGCATGAACACTGTGATGGATGATAATAAGGTGCTGACTCTGGTGAGTAATGAACGAATACCCTTCACCAAAGAGATGCACTTGTTCTTTGAAATTACCAACATGAAGTATGCCTCTCCCGCAACAGTCAGCAGAGGGGGGGTCCTCTACATAAACAGAGGAGACATAAGTTATAAGCTGTATATAAGTTCGTGGATCAACCTTTTAAAAAATCATGTGGCCAAGACGGAGTTTTACTACCTCTTCAACATATTTTACGCGCAGAACATTGACATGCTGAGGAAGCAGTGTAAGTTCGCCTTCGAGTTGTCCAACCTGGACATTGTGAGGTCGATCTGCAACTACATCGATTACTTCCTCGTTAAATATGATAAGTACATTAGCGAGGTGATACGGAGAATTGAGAATCGCCAGGAGGAGGACGAGGCGATGGAAGAGAGGAAGGGATGTGTGTCTCCCTCAGCAGTGGATGCGGTCAGCCTGGGAAATGCACCCAAGGAGGAAAGTGGTGCTAACCAGGAAGAGTTACATCCCATGAAGGAAGACCAAAACAATGGAGACGAAAAAAATGTGATAAACAAAATTAATTATAATTATGAAATTTTGAAAGATTACTACAATAGCTTTTTCATGAATTCTTACATGTGGGTCCTGAACAACTTAATCGTGGAGGACAAATTAATGAACGCAAGGAATGCTCTCAACAACAATGTCAAGTCGAATGTTAAGGTAAAGATGGGAAGCGACTACTGCTGCAACTACACTTATAATATTTACGACAATGAGTGGAAGCACCTGAGCGAGTACCTGGACAGTGACATTTTGTTTTTGCAGAAAATGCGCTGGAACTTTGGCCAGGAAGAGGGAGAAGAGGGTGAAACGGGGGAAGCGGAGGAGGTAGAAGAAGAAGAAGGGGGTGATGAAGGGGGCGACACGGGTGAAGTGGAGGAGACGGGTGAAGGGAGCCGAGTGCAGCATGCCAAGCCAAAGCACAAGAAAAAAAGCGAAAACAATTACATCGAAAGCATGCTTCCACACAACTATGATGAATTGTACATTAACACGATCGAGCTTATTCGCACGGAAAAAATGATAAAGTATTCCCTAGACCGAAACCAACCAATCCTGATGTATGGAAGTAACGGCACGGGGAAGACAAAGTGTATAAGTAACAATATTAATATGAACATTGAAAAGTTTACGCACACCACTATAAGCATAAACTATTACACAAACTCATTTGTCCTTCAGAAGATAATTGAGAATAATGTGGAGAAGAGGAACACAAGGACATATGGGCCCCCGAATCAGAAGAGACACATTTTTTTTTTGGAAGACATGAATATAACTGCTAAGGACAATTGTGATACACAGCAGACCTTGGAGTTCTTAAGACAATTGTTAACGTACAAGTTGATATATGACAGGGAAAATTTAGACGAGAAGAAATTCATTCACGACGTCCTCTTCATAGGAACAGTAAATAACAACGCGAATAAACTGATCGACAAAAGAATTCAAAACAAATTTCACATTATCAACATGGAAGATATTAGCATGAAGACATTTGAGAATGTATACAAGGTTATACTAAAACAGCATTTGCTCAAGTTTGATGATACAGTGAAAGGTTTACTTAACAATATCATTTCATTTTCACATGACCTGTACAGTAGGGTTACAGAGAATATTTCGTTCAATTTGTCTAACTCTGCTCCACATTACTTATTCAACTTGAATGATATTCATGGGGCATTTCACAACATCATTAAATGTACAAGCCCTGATTTGTACAATGGAGGGAGCTTTAAATTTTTAATGATTTTTTTCCACGAGATGCATCATGTGTACATGAACAAGCTGACGTCGAATGAGCACATTGAGATTTTCACACAGATCTTCAATCGCCTTTTGCAACAGCACTTTCCCTTTTGCCTGGAGGATTTGGCTCGCCACCGGGCCGCCTTCGACGGGGACACTGGCGCGGTTAGTGGCGCGGTTAGTGGGTTGGTTAGCGGCGCGATTGGTGGTGCGGTTGGTGGTGATGGGGACGCGCACGCCTCAAAGGGGCTTATCACATCACAGGGGCTGAGCGCTTCACATGGTCTAAGCGCATCTACAGCCCCCTCTGCCAACTCGGCCAGCCTCCCGTACGACCCGAACAAGAACATATTCACCTCGTTCATTTCGGTGCGCAACGGGCTGGACAAAATGTACCTCGGTGTGAAGAAATTCCATGTGCTGAAGGAGGTGCTGGCAGAGAAGCTAAGCGAATATAACATCTCGCACGTGGAGCTTCCACTCGTCCTCTTCGACTACGCAGTTGTGCAGATATGCAAAATATGTCGTATCTTAGACTTTGACATTTCGCACCTGATGTTGATCGGCTTTGGAGGATCGGGAAAGCAGTCCCTAGTGAAACTGAGTATCTTCATCAACTGCCTCAACCTGCTACAAATCTCAACGAACAACAACTACGACTTGAGCAATTTTAAAGCAGACCTTCAGGAGTTCCACTTGAAATGCGCCATCAAGCCTGGCAACGTGCACGTTCTACTTCTGAAGGAACAAAATATCCTAGACTCGTTCCTGCCGTACATAAATGATTTGACATCCACGGGGTTGTGTAATGATTTGTTCACGAAAGACGAGTACCTAGGAATTTTCTCCTCCATTCGAAACCAGATAAAGTACTTAAATATTGGGGAGAGCAACGAAGATGTATTTAATTATTACATAAGTAAGATAAAAAGGAATTTCAAAGTAGCAGTGACCCATTCTCCTATTAGCAGTTTATACAGAGATCGTTTGATAAAATTTCCTTCGTTCTTATCGAACTTTTCCTTCGTGTACTTTTTACCCTGGCCATATGAAGCACTTGTAAATGTGTCTAATAGATTTTTGAACGATTTAGAAATCGAGGATGAATTGAAGAAGAGCATTTGCGAACATATGGCGTATGTGCACACAAGCACAAATGAGATGAACAAGATTTATCTGGAGAAGAAAAATCGATACAATTATGTTATCCCCAAAACTTTCCTAGAGTACATATATTTTTATAAGAACCTGTTGCATGTGAAGAATTATGAGATTGAGAAATCCGTGGAGAGACTGAACAAGGGATTGTTAGCACTGACAAGTACGAGAGAAAATGTGGAAGTGTTGAAAAAGGAAATTGAAGTGAAAATAAAAAATATAGAAGAGAAAAAAATTGAAGTGAATGAAATTATAAAAAAAGTGAAGGAAGCAACGGAAGTGACGAACAAAGAACAGCAGATTGTAAATGAGGAGAAAAAAAAAACTGAAATTTTTACAAGAGAAGCAATTGAAATTCAGATTAAAGCAGATAAAGAATTGAGTGAAGCTTTGCCCATAATGAACAAGGCCAAGGAAGCTGTAAATTGTATTACCAAGTCAGCTATTCAGGAACTAAAGTCTTTACAGAACCCACCAAAGGAGTGTCTAGATGTAACCCACGCTGTTCTAATTGCCTTAAAGGAGATAAAAAATTATTCATGGAAATTTGCTCAAAAAATTATGAATAATCCTAGTCAGTTTTTATCGAAATTGCAAAAGTTCGATGCAGAAAATATGGATGAAGAGACAGTTCATTTGTTAACCCCATTTATTGAGAAAAAATTCTTCAATTATGAAATGATGAAAACCAAATCTTCTGCATGTGCTTACTTGGCACTTTGGCTAGTGAACATTGTCAAGTATAATGAAGTGTATAAAAAGGTGAAGCCACTGATGGACAAATTGCAAGAAGCCACAAATAATAAAAACAGCGCACAAGAAAAATTAAACCTTTTAGAAAATAAGGTGAAGGAATTAACGGATAGTGTAGAAAAGCTTAGGACAAAAATGAATGAAGTCAATGAAGAGAAAAATAACATTATAAAAATATTTAATGAATCAAAAGACAAATTAAATCGAGCGGAAAATCTGGTGAATATGCTATCGGATGAGTATAGTAGATGGTCTGATGAAATTGAAATTATTATTTCTAATAAAAAATACATTTATGGAGATTGTCTCCTTTTGTCTTCCTTCATTACCTACTTAGGGGTATTCTCTAGCTCCTTCCGAGTAAAATTATGGAAGAACCTGTGGCTTGAGCAGATTAAGAAGAGCAATATCCTCATCAGCGAAATTTCCTCCCCAATTGACATCATGGTACAGGATATACAGATAGCTACCTGGAAAAATGAGAAACTTCCTGAAGATAGGATAAGTATAGAAAATGCTCTTATCGTAAGTACTTGCTATCGATGGCCTTTGTTGATCGACCCACAGTTACAAGGATTGAAGTGGTTGAAGGCTAAAGGAGGAAATAATATCACATGTCTCCAATTCAACAGTGATCATTTTATTACAAAAGTTAAGAATGTTATCTTGAGAGGTGGCTACCTCATTATAGAAAACGTCACTGAAGAGATTGACAACGTTATTGATGGGCTCCTCAATAGGGAATTCATAAAGAGGGGAAATGACACCTTCGTCAAAATTGACAATGAGGAGATGCAGTTTAACTACCCCAATGCTATTAGCAGAGTGTCGAAGATTAAGTCATTCTATGAGAGTGGCGCTGGAGAGGGGGGAGGCCGCTCTGGTGCCACTTCTGGGCGAGAAAATAACAACTCGGGCAGCTTCCACGAAGATGGAGAGGTGGACCATGATGATGCAACGGAGGAAGAAGAGGAGGATGAGGATGAAAAGAACCTGCACACTAAGTCAACCCCCAGAAGAGGGGATAGACAAAACGGTAGACAACATGGAGATAGCAGCCGACGTGGTAGAGATAGCGCAACTCAGGAAATGTCGATGATGATGACCCCGAGGGAAAAACAGGATGATGAAAAAAATTACGAAAAAATGTCCAACTCACATAGTATTATGAGTAAATCTCTTTCAAACGAGGGTTTTAGAAAGGCCCCCTTTTTCAATCTCATCCTGCAAACGAAGCTGAGCAATCCACACTTCAAGCCAGAAGTGAACAGCCAGTGCACGCTCATAAACTTTAGCGTAACTTGTGAAGGGCTGGAGGAGCAAATTTTAGCCATCATCGTTAATATAGAGAAGCCAGAATTGGAGAAGCAGAAACAAATACTTGTGAAAAACAGAAATGAATACAAAATCGTTTTGAACAAGTTGGAGGATGAAATATTGTATCAGTTGTCCGCCGCAGACTCCACCACCATCATCGACAATATTTCTCTCATTAACAGTTTGAAGACTACCAAAGACACATCTATCAATATACAAAAGCAAGTGGCCGATTCCATCACAACGGAGAACGAGATTAACAAAACTAGGGAGCTGTATAGGACCCTGGCGAACGAAGCCTCCATCGTGTACTTCATCCTCATCCTTATGCACAACATTAATTACATGTATCAGTACTCGCTGGACTCTTTTATTAGCTTGCTGCTCAAGTCGATCGAGGCCGTGCACGCGGGGGTCGCAATGGGGAGCAGAGTAGGGAGTGGAATTGGTCGTGGCGTGGGCAGCGCGGGGGAGGACGAGCTGAGCCTGGGCGACTCGAGGGGGTACTTCCGCGATGGCGCCGAACGGGAACGAGGAACGGGCACAGCGGACGAAGACGAGGCGGAAGAAGCAACCCGAAATGGAGCAGAACAAAACGACCTGTGCGATGAGCACATGAACGAGCTAATCATTTCATTCAGGAAAACGATCTACTCATGGATCAACCGAGGGTTGCTGGAAGAGGACAAGCTGCTATTCAATTGTATATTTGTGTTCAAATTATTGGAAAAAAAAAAAATTCATGACAAGGATTTCAGTATGGATTATTTGAACTTTTTTTTGAAGCCTCCCCGAATGAAAGAAGCGATTCAGAACCCGTTAAAGGAATGGCTAGCTGATGACTGCTGGAGGAATGTATGTGTGTTGTCAAAATTTAAAGAATTTGAAAGTTTAACCAACAATATACACATAGATGCACAGCACAAGTTCAAGCAGTGGTGTTCAGAAATACAACCAGAAATATGCACCCTACCCCTAGAATGGAAAAAATTAAGTAATAACTCTTTTAAAAAATTACTAATTATAAGATCATTGAGACCAGACAGAGTAACAGTAACATTGGAGAAGTACATTCGAAATGTGTTACCAAACAGTGAAGAGATTATGGAGAGGAAGAATTCCTTTGTAGACACACTAGAATCATCGTACAATTTTATGATTAATTCTACCCCAATTCTCTTCATCTTAACCCCTGGGTCCGATTTTATTAAGTATGTAGAACAGTTAGGGAAGAAGAATAAATTTTATCTGAACAGTAATTTGCACATAGTATCTTTGGGACAAGGACAAGAAACAATTGCATTGTTTAAATTGGAGCTAGCTCATAAAGAAGGTCATTGGATAGTATTGGAAAATATTCATCTAATGGCAAAATTCAATTTAGTTTTAGAAAATGTGATTGATAAATATGCTGCAGAGGGGTCTCATCCGAATTTTCGTCTTTTCTTAACATCAGAGGTAACAAAAAATATTCCCATAAGTATTTTGGAGAGGTCTATAAAATTGACAAACGAAGCTCCAACAGGTTTTAAAGAAAATTTGAAGAGAGCCTTTACCTTTTTCTCCTTAGATGATTACGAAGAGAAAGATTTACGAACAAAAAATATTTTATTTTCTCTTTGTTATTTCCATTCCATCATTGTGGAGAGATCCAAATTTGGTGCTCAAGGGTTTAATATAAAATATCCCTTCAGCTTAAGTGACCTTCGAGATAGTGCAAAAGTTCTTTTTAATTATTTAGACAATCAGAATTCTATAAAGGTACCGTGGAATGACTTAAAATATATTTTTGGAGAAATCATGTATGGTGGTCATATTGTGAATGATAAGGACATGTTGGTGTGCAAAACTTATTTGAATTATTATATGAAGGAGCAGTCTTTAGAGGGGATGCAGTTAATTCCTTTTTCTAAAAATGTACAATTGTTTAGCCCTAGTAATTATGCTTATGATAAAATTTTAAAATACATTGACACGCAGATGGTTGCTGAGTCTTCCATTTTGTATGGCCTGAACCAACATGCAGAAATGAACTTTAGGACAAATGAAAGTATAAAGCTGTTGACAAATATTTTTAAGTTAAAGCTGAACGAGAGTTCTACCTTTGTGGAAGAACTAACCACTAGAGAAACTTTGGAAGTTCGCACTGCTAATATCCTTTCAGACATATTAAATGAAATTGAAAATGTTCATTTCAATGTAGATGAACTGGTTAAGTCCATTCCTGATGATCAGATTACTCCTCTGCAGTATTTCCTCTTCCAAGAATGTACTCTTATGAATTCACTTACAAGTATTATGAGAGACTCTTTAAAGGAGCTACATCTAGCTATTAAAGGTGAAATTAATATGAACACAAAAATGGAATCATTAATGGGTTCTTTGTACAAAGATCAGCTACCAGATTTGTGGAAGGATAACTCTTACTCCAGTAACAGAAATTTGTGCTCATGGATTCTTAATCTCAAGGAAAGAATCAGCTTCCTATCCGATTGGTTCAATGACCCACTGGTGACTCCAAAAGTTTTTAACGTCTCGCTTTTGTTCAACCCGAATAGCTTCTTCAGTGCAATTAAACAAATCCTCTCTCGAAATGAGAAGTGCGAGTTAGACAAAATTATTATGCAAATTGAAGTCACCAACAAGTCTTTGAATAATATTCACTCGTACCCTAAGGAGGGCGCTTACATCTATGGGCTCTACCTCGATGGCGCCAACTACGACATTGAGAAAAACACCCTCTGTGATTCTAGCTCCAAGCAGAAGTACTTCCTCATGCCCGTCATTCACTGCAAGCCGGTCGTCAGCATGGGCAAAGTGGAAACGGACGTGTACGAGTGCCCCGTTTATAAGACAGTCTCCAGGGGACCCACCTACGTCACCAATATTAAGCTCAAGACCAAGGAGAACCAGGAGAAGTGGGTGCTTGCCGGCGTTGCGCTCATCCTGGACATTGCCGATGATTGAAACGGGGCGGAGCGGGCACATGAGAGACGGAGTGAAGCGACGCTATGCGACGCGATGCGAATTAGTGTGTCCTACACTTTATGACTAACCGTGTGTCTCCCACCCCCTGGGAGTAATTTTTTTTCTTTTTTTTTTTTGGCCCATGCGTCTTCACGGGTAAAAGGGCAACCCGTGTATTTGCTTCGCTTGCCCATTTGCCTCCACTTTTTTCCATTTTTTTTTTTTATTTATTTATTTTTGTTCTAACTGACAAACGCGTGTCCCTCTCAACGGGGTTCATTTAATGGTCTTTTTTTTTTTTTTTTTCCTTCACATGGACATGCAAGAAGGGGGAAATGAACCAACACGCGCAACAGGCGCAACGGGGTGAAGCGGTTTGCGGTTGGCGGTTGGCCGCTGGACTATTAGTTGGTCAGGCGGCCAAACTGCCAGACTGCCACGTAGCATAAGTGTTTCTCGTCAATTTTCTCTTCAATGACCCAGAAATCGCGCGAGTGGCCACTTGTGTGCATGCACATGACTGCACCCCCCACAAATGTCCATTTTGTGACAAGTTCGCTTAACGCTTGGAGAAGGGGGAAAAAATCTTTTGTGAATAATTATCCGTAATTGTTCATTCGTTTGTTTGATGGTTTTCCTTTTTTATTTTATTTATTTTATTATTTTTTTTTTTTTTAATTTTTTTTTTTTCTTCTGCCACCCCCCTTTTCGCGTGCACTGCGCACACTACGCAAACTGCGCAACTAGGAAAACATAAGAAGAGTCTCCGTCTGAGGGCATTCGTGTCCCATGTACGTTTGAGGCTTCCTTCCTTCTCCCCCTCCGCGTTAAGATCACCTGACTGGCCACTCCTACCTGTAGAGGAGGCTGTCTATGTGTGTGCACGCGTGCACGGGTTGCGTGGGAGGTAAAAGCAGAGATGTGCGCAAATAGGAACGCATCGCGGTAGCAGCGTGGCAGCAGTGAGGCCATACAATGGAGGAGTACGACATGAAGCAAACCCTGTTTAGGAAAAAACCCAAGCAAACAAACAGGGATGGGTGTCGAATGTGCCGCAAGAAGTATCGCAAGTGCATTAACACATGCTTAACATGGGAAGTGGTAATCCTGGTGGTGCACATATTAGTCTTTCTCATAGTCATTTTCAAATTGGCAAAGGATGGAAAACTGGGTCAGATAGACAAGCCCCTGTTTAGGTCATACAAGAGTGGAGGTCATGTTCTGCAAGGAGTTTTATTCGTCTTGCTCATTGTGCCTTTCAGATTTAACAAAAGGCTCATAAAATGGTTTTACAACTTTTACATGAAAAATGAGACACACATGGATGATGAGTGCAGAGAAGGGCAGCGGTACCAGCAGCCGTATGGCGATATTGAAGAGAATAAAATGGGGAATTACCTCTCCAATGAAGAGGATGAAGAAGCAAGGGTGAGCGAAAAGAACTGTACTATGAACACCCTATTTGGTAGTTTTGGTGATAATCATATAGACCAAGGGGGAGTGGGTGACCAGGCCGCGAACAGCCAGGCAGTTAACAACGGGACAGTGATGAAGCATTCGGCAGACGCGAGTGAGATGGACGCAGAGAAGAGAGACGGTCACACGCAGTTCAGCCATATTGGCAGCACTAATAGTGCCAAAAGTGGAAACGGCATGGAGCACCAGAACGGAAGCGGTGGAAAAAACCCTTCTGGGGAGTGCTTAACCACGAACAGACGAAGGAAGGGGAGCAACTGCAGCAGTGGAAGTCTACACCATGAACACACAAAAGGAAAAATCTCCTCGTGTGAATATTTTATTAACAGTTTGATTTTTCCACTTAACACCCCAAAACATACAAGAGAAAAAATTCAGTACTTTTTCCTGTGCGCAAAATTGTATGCAAATAACAAAAGCTCCTTTCTGTTTGTTCTCAAGTATGTGTGTTCCTTCATCCTAATGTTTGGCTACCCGTTGTACAATCTAGTGAAGAGGAAATTGCTCCACATAAATTTTTACTTAACGTCGTACTACAGGAATGCATTCGACTTCGCCGCAGGTTTACTCGTGGGATCCCTCTTCGTCTTCATTTACGGAGTTGTTAAATTTTTTGCTAACCTTTATATGAACAGAAATAATGACAAGTTTTACTTTTACGACAATTATCCTTTTATGGGGGAAGTGAAATGTCTATGTGATGAAAACGTTCGCATCCTTATACATAATAATCCTCACCTGAAGGGCATAGCGATACAATACCTTAATACGTATGGAACTTACAAGAGTCTTCTTTTGGTGGGAATATTAATCTTGTTCGTAGTGTCTATCTGCTCCTTCGTCTTTACCCTTACCTCGATGAGTACCCCCGTGCCGGTTGCGACATGACGCATACAAGTGCGGCTGTGAAGTGTTAACAGTGGGAAGTTTTCGCCGCATCTTGTCCCGCCGCTTGCCTCGCCCATTTCGAGGTGGCCCTGACTTATCGCCCCGAAGGCCCCCACCAAAACACACATTTGGAGCTTCCTTTTTTTGTGGCATGCACACCTGTGTGCATCCGTTATCTGTGGAACTTTGCCTTTTTATATTCTCTCCTTATACTGCCCTCCCCGATTGTGTATTTTTTGGTATCACTTTTGCGTCATTTTATACCTCTTTTATGCCATTTTTTTTGCCGCCTTTTCCTTGCACCCTCCCCCAATGGTTCAGATTGACTGCACGCGCACTAAGACGTTCCGGAGTGTGTGTGTAGGGGGGTGAGGGGCTGTTCTCTTTTTTTTTTTTTTTAATTCGTTCAGACGATCCTGTATTTGTACATACGCCTTGTCCGCCACACTATGAGCGTAAGCAGCTACGTCATAGTAGTGTTTGAGCAACCCACAAGTTTTTACTTTGTTTAAAAAACAAAATTAAAAATCAACTGGAACACGTGAGGGTGCCACAAACGGTTACTCCGTTTGTTCACCCATTCGTTCTCTTCCCTGTCGCTAAGAGAACGGGTACCTAGCAGTGAGACCAAGGCAATGAAACGAGTAAGGAAGAAAAGGGACGGAATGCCAATTGGGGGGAGGAGTGACTCACAGGGGGGAAAAAAACTAACCGCACAGTTTGGAAAGAAATAAACTGTTGGCCTGCTTGTGCGACACGTGTCAATACGCCACTGAGTGTACGTATGTGCGTCATGCCTGCACTGCGCCAACTGCACCATATGTGTAGCCGTGCGCGGGTGTCGCCCCTCTCGCGAGTTGCGCGAACTGGTGATCACGGAAATGCTGCACTGAGGGAGGCTGGGAATTAAAAAGGGAAAAAAAGAAAAAGAAAACGCAGAAAAATGCACGGCAAAATGCATAGCAAAAAAATGCTCCCAAAAAACGGGTGGAGATACATATGGTTTATTTGGGCACGCCAAGCGAAACGCAGATTTGCTGAAGCCAAAAGAACTTTTCCCACGAATGGGGGAAAACTTCACAAGAGCAGAAGTGCGTGGTAAGACGAAGCAGTGGTAAGCCGTCATTACACCAGCTACCTTTATACAATAGGGCTATTCCCACCGATTACGCGAATTCCACATCGCAAACTAATACACAGGTGAAGGCAACGCACACGGGCTTCCCCCCCTATGTGCTTCGCGGCCGCTTGCGAAGTATCCAATCTTATTGCAACATAACAAAGGAAGGAAAATGAGTTGGGCACAGTGGTGGCCACATGACCCAGCCCCCAAAACGGACTCCCTTGATCCGTACCTCGTCAAAGTGGAAAAGCAAAAGGTATGACAAGTCGTACAAGGGATGTTAAAAAAAAAAAAAAAGGCCCACCCCAAAGTTTAACGTAATTGTGAAAATACGCCATCACTATTGTGTATGCATGTGCAAAGGGCTTGTAGCCTCATGTGGGAGTGGATACAGAATCAACATTCTGACGCAACAAAAAAATAATGCGTTAAAACGTGGTGAATGTTCATATATATATATTTTTTTTTTTTTTTTAACAAAACGTAGGTTTACTGGTACTGTGCCTGTGGGACGAGCAAAAACCAACCGTGGTGTGATGGAACCCACAAAGGAAGTGGTAAAAATGATACGTCCTTGTGACGGAAGTACCTATATGTATTATAGGCATTTTTCTGTGCACAAAATGAGAACCTTTCCAAAGCAACGTCCCTTGTGTGTGTCCTTATGTCCACAAGAATGTTCCACACATGTTGGACACATCGTGGTGTGACCTCTCATCATTTCGCTGCTTTTTTTTTTTTTTTTTTTTTTTTTTATCATTTTCGCGCAGGAAGGAAACCCATCATGTACATCCCGCAGACAAGTGGATACAGACTTCTGAGTGGTTGCAGGCAGAGCACACACCTTCCGCATTATGATTTTTCCGATTTATGGGTAAGCGTTGAAAAGGAGTAAAATCATCCGTTTACTCCCCCCCCGGAGTTCGTGTCTTACCGTATGTTCCTTGTAGCTATTATGGGATAAGTGGAAAGGGTGCAAGTTGCCTTTCTTTCACGAGACAGTATGTACCTTTTATTTTGTTTTTGCCCCATTTTTACCCACCCGTTTTTTTGTTCCCCCCCCCCACTTCGTAGGTCCGAGCGAATAAAAACGTCCCGAAGGCGGCTGTCTTTACGTACGTCGCGCTTTTTTCATTTGGCATTATGACCACCTGGTTGTTTCACCCTTAGGAGGGTGGCGCACACGGAAGTAGCGCTGGCCTTGGTGATGCACCTTGCGAACGACGTCGCTTATGCGTGCCCTTTTTTATTTTTCAACGGTGTATTGATGCACAGCGACGTGTCCGTGTGGCTGTACGGCCACATCACCACATGGCAATTTTTCCACCACTAATAAACGTAAAGATAAATTTAAAAAAAAAAAAATTCAATTTTGCAAAAGGTACAAGCGTGCTGCGAGTTTGCGGTTGGCGCCTTGCTCTCCTGGTGGGCAATTTTTCAAAAAAATCGGGACAGCGCAAGGCTGGGGTCTGCACATCACAGCAACACATGCATGGCGATACATTAACAAAAAAGGAATTGAGGGGCAAGAAGCGCTGGACAAAGTGTTGTTGACACCCCCACCCCATAAGCCTACGGGTCCTGCCATTTGTTATGCTTCTTAATGAGCTCTACAAGTTTGTCGCAGGCGTCCTCCTCAGGGATGTTTCTCTCGACGAGTTCTTTCCCATAATACAAGTCGATTTTTTTGGGGCCACTTCCAACATAACCAAAATGTGCATCGGCCATTTCACCAATACCATTGACAATGCATCCCATGACGGCAATTTTAACTCCCTTCAAATGACCAGTCAGTTTCGTAATCCTTTTTGTGGTTTCTTGTATGTTAAAAAGGGTTCGACCACACGAGGGGCAGGCAATATAATCTGTTTTAAATAGACGAGCACGTGTGTCTTGCAAAATGTTCAAAGTAAGAAATGAGTTTAGTGCAACCCGAGAAGAAATTCCCTCTTTAGTTTGTCCTTTCTGTTTCATATGCTCATTCGTGACATTTATTATAAGTCCATCTCCCATTAAATCGATTAGGCAGGTGCCGACGTAGAGTGCTGAATCGACTAACATATCATCATAGTTGGTCGAGTTGATATTAGCATAGTGCACATAAGGCAGATTTATATTTAAGGAGTTCACAATTTCGTTGAACCGTCTAGTAGTTAGGACATGTTCGTGTATATTGTCTGACTTGAGAAGGAAGAATAAGGGAAGTGGTTTTTTCTCCTCTTTGATTTGGTTAAACACCTGTTCAATAAGCTTCGTGTCTTCCTTCCCGTTGACAACTATTACGTACCCCTTCGCGGCGCTGTGCAAGGGGATTTGCCCCTCGTTCTTCTGTAGCATGGTTTGTACGCGGTTCAGATCGAGATAGAATAGGGTGTTCCGAGCAACGTGGTCCATCCCATTGGTGCTGCCGCTTAACATGGCGACGTCCCCCTCATAGTATTCCGCCAGCATGTGCACACCCCCCTCTGCCAATTTTCCCAGGGTCGCCCTCGATCTGCTGCTTAGCGCCCCCAATTTGGGGATAACAAGAATGTCTGTGGATTTGACTCCCTTTTTGAGGTTCCCATTTTGATCGACCTCTAAATTCAAGTCTTTGAAAATTTGAAGTGAGTCTTCCAGCTCCTTCTCAGTGACTACATTCCCGATGGTGAACTCTTCATGCAATACGCCTTCTCTCTTTTCAACTTTCCTTTTTGTAATTTTATTAAAATTTCGAAAGTGCTCCTCGAAGTTGAGCAATTTAGAAGAACTATTATCCCCTGAAGGAGAAGAAAAAACCTGACCGTCTTTTTCACCCCCCTCTGCATGGTCATCATAAAAAACTCTTTTTTTTAAATTTTTAATTAAAGTTTTGCATGGAATTAATTCTTCCCAAGGGTCTTCCGTTAACGACATCCTGATGGTGTCTCCTATCCCATCGTACAATAGCGAACCTATTCCCAAATAAGATTTTATTCTTCCGTTATCCCCAAATCCTGCTTCCGTAACACCCAGGTGCAGGGGGAATAACAAGCCATTGATCATCCTGTTATATTGTCTAGCTACGAGTAGCCTATATGACTGTATCATTATATAGGCGTTGGAAGCCTTCATGGAAAAAACCAGATTGAAAAAGTTATTTTGTACACACAAATCTGAAAATTCGAATGCTGATTCGACCATGCCTAAGGGGGTATCCCCGTAGTACGAGAGGACCCTAGAAGATAAAGAGCCGTGATTTGTACCTATACGTATGGCTCTATTCAATCTCTTACATTTTTCAATCAATGGAACGAATTTTTCCTGTATAAATAATTTTCCTTCATCGAATTCTTCCCTCGTTTTGTATACTTTGTCGATCCATTTTTTTCTTCCATCTACATAATTTCCTGGGTTCACACGTATTTTATCAAATACATCTGCTGCCATCAGAGAAATTTTGGGATTAAAATGTATGTCTGCAACGAGCGGAATGGTAATATTTTGAGCTAGCAATTTTTCTTTTATATGATAACTGGCCTCTGCTTCCTGAACCCCTTGGACTGTCAATCTGATTAAATCTGCCCCCAAGTCTTTACATTTTTTAATTTGATCAACGCATGCATCCACATTTTTCGTGTCACATGTTGTCATGGTTTGAATGGCTATTTTATTGTTTCCTCCGATTTTGATGTTACCAATGGTCACTTCCCTTGTGGGGAGCCTTCTGTACCTTTTTGTGCACTCACAGTATTTCTTTATGTCTTTGATGAGGTTATATTTGTCCTCATCTGATAATGAATTGAGTGATTTTATTTTTTTCATTTTCATTTTCTTCTTTTCCTTGTTCTTCCCTTCCGATGAGAAGCTTTCATTGTGATTCTTCTTCGGGGTGGTGCCAACCAGAAACAGGTAAACATTTTGCTTGTCTCTCTTGGTAGCCTTTGTGAATATGTTAATGGGACGCTCTTTTACGGGCACATTTTTATTTTTTATTTTGGAGCAGAAACAGAGGGCTACCATGAAAAGGAGTAGCTTTTTTGCGTGACACATTTTATGGGGAAAAGGGCACTCACGTGAGGACACGTTATATATGTCTAAGCGGACAGTACATGTGTCACACCTATCTTCCAGTGTGTACCTCCGCGTGACTGCTTGTGTAACACCCCCACGGGAATCTGCGAACAACAAGAAAACAACTTTAACCGCGACCTAATTGGAAAAAAAGGAAAAAAAAAGGGGGTCCTTCCACAGGTAGATAAAATACTTCATTCTCTTCTCCCAAGATGCTCCCTCCTTTGACCAGCCACACTACTTCAAGCGCCAGGAACACTTCTGGGCATTCTCTTTTTTTTTTTTTTTTTTTTTTGCTTCTATATATTTGGTTTTTTTCCCCCGAAAGGGGTTACATAAACTAATTGTTCTTTATTTCGAGAATCTACTCTATGGGAAAAGGTTCCGCACATTGCATCTGACCGTATCCTCCGCCTTATGTTACCTTACCAATAGCATGAACGGTTCTACAAATGTGTTAGTACTATACTATTATACCGCTCTGAATTTGTGTTTCCCCTCAAAACGAGAATAGATTCGCATCTCCTTTCTCACGAATTGTTTTTTCTTTTTCTTTTTTTTTTTTTATGTCCCCCGTTATTGCACAATCGTTTTTAGGAATATGGCAAAAGGTACCTTCTTGGGGACCCCCTCCTCATTTTAAAAAGAAGTTGCCATACCTCGACCGAATGTTCCAACCAATTTTTAGAATCTGCCAAACCACATTTTTTCGATGTTTTTTTTTTTTTTTTACTTTAAAAAGTTTGCCCTTTCGCCAAGCTGTGCAATAATTGTTTATATACACACCTAACATTTGTTACACCCTTTATATTCAGTTTTTACAAAAAAAAAAAAAAATGTACTGGAAAGCATTTGGGCGATACACTGTAGGGCTATAATCGGGATGCATCGAAATTGGGATATGTGAGAAAAAAGTATGTAGTCATACGGTCCGAACCATTAGCAAAAAAGGTGAGGATAAGTATTACCCAAGTAGGTGAATTTTTTTGTGGAACTCACTTAAAAATTAGGAATGGTACTTTGTGAAAGTTAGTTACTTATCTTGGCATTGGAGAATGCTGCTGCCTATGTAATTATCTGCTTTGTGGGTAACTCGCCCCACTGTGATGCTTTTGAAGACTCCTCTAAAATGTGACAATTTTTTTTTGTGTGTAATTTTACAAGCGGCGGGAGAAGGTGGAACGGTGGCAATTTTCTCAGCTATGTGTAGATGCACCTATGTATTAATGTATAAGTGCATACTCAGGCACATCACTGATGCGTAAGCGTGCATTAAATGTGTGAACCTGTTGAGCGGCGTGCCAAATGTTTCCCCACCAGCACTGTTGCCAAAGGGGGAAGAGTGCACATCTGACAACGCTCCCGTGTTATCTCGGCATTTGTTCTCAGTTTAGTCCTTCGTTTGTGTTAATTTTTGTTTTTTTAACCCTACATGCATTACTACGCACATCACGTGCCATCATTTTGGTGATTTCCGGGATAACCGATTTGTGTGTTTTTTTTTTTTTTCGTGTCTCATATTATTAGCAAAGTAAACAAAGCGTTGCTTCTCTTTTCCTCTGAAGCGAATAAACTTAGTGAATCTCAAAAAAAAAAAAAAAATTATAAACAATTTACAAATTTGAAATGTTCCTTTTTTTACCGAATCGAACTTGCGCTTAACGGGAGAGTAGACATCCCTCCCGCCTCCTATGTTACACACATCTTACAAGAAAAAACACAAACGGGTAGGGATACATGCCAAAAAGATGTCCTCTCATAACATGGTCTCCTCAAAACGGGTGCACATAGGCTAACAACATTTCAACAATTAAATGTAAACTCGAAAAAAAACGAGCCTGTGTGTGCACAGTATATGGGGCGCACACATTGCCCTGAGCATTAAAAGGAAAATGTGAACAAATTAAAAGCTTTGCTCCGACTGTTGTGAAGTCAAAAAGGGGAAAAGTACTTTTTCCCCCAAACCCCTTGCTAGTTCCAACTATGTGTATATATTTTATTTATATTTCTTCAAACAAAAAAGAGGGGGGGGAAATTTTATTATTCTTGCACACATTTTTAACTATACGTTTGTTACATTTCTACAACGCAAAATTTTTAATTTTTTTTGTTTTCCCTTTTAATAAAGATTTAAAAGTTCCCATTAAAGAGAGCCCGACCATGTGTGTAAGTTATCCACCCAAGCAGTGGTGCCTCTTCTGCCTTTCACGAAGCTTTAGCTCGCAGCTGTACAGCTTATGCAACGTCCTGCCTCGCCGTTTCACAAACTCGTGGGGGAACCAAAGTGCATAATTTAACTTCATCAGTGGAAGAAATAGCACAAATATACAACTTTTCAAATGTAGGAGTTAAAACAATTTTTTTTTCTTTTTTCAATTAAAAGAAGGGGAAGCACTATGTGAGTATGAAGCACATGGACGAATACACGTTTCCGCAGGGGCACTACATCACAGCTTCTCAAACAAGACATAAGTTTTGTAAAAAGTGAAATACTTCTCAAAAGGGGGCGAAATAAATGATAGTGGTTTGCTGGAATTGATACAATTTCGCTGATGTGTTCTTCTTCCCTTTTTAAATGCGCTGATGTGCATATTTTGAGTTTAAGCGAGGCTGAGCTCTTCGTGTGGACGTGGGAACGCGTGTAAATCCGCAGCTGTATACGCATTTTTACGTCCCTCCTATGTGCAGTCGTCCTCTCTACGTCGCAATTGTCGATAATGTCCCATTGGTGCGCAAATTCCTCCAAGAGGAAAAATTACGCGACGAGGAAAATTTATCCATTGTTTTGTTTCAGTCCATTTGGGTTTTTAGCAGCGGAGTGATATAAATGAAACTAGCTGTGAAAAAATACCTGTCTGTTCAGGCAAATTTAAAAAAAAAAAAAAAAACAAACAGCTATATGTGTGCATGAAGTGCGCCTTTTATTTTTTTTTTTCCCCCCTTTAATATGAACAGCCAGACGTGCGTAATTTATTGAATCCCATCACAACATGCGCGTTTAAAAAACACATCTTTCTTGGGAAACATTACAACTGTTTATTTTACCTGTATATGTGTAATTAAGTAGGTAACGCTTTCGAAAATCGTTTTGTCTTCCTCATATTTGTGAATAAACCATTTCGAGTAAGTCTTTTTTTTTTTTTAAAAAAAAAGGAAAAACACATTAAGAAAAAGGGTCTGTACTCATGTCCTCCCCCAGGTGTGACACTGTTCAGACTACCAACAAGAAATGCATTGTTGTAATTACTCCCATACGTCTTCTGCGTAACAAGGGAGTTGCATTTTTTCCTTAAAAAATACTCACCCGTTGATTTTTTTTTTTTTTTTTCCGCATTTCAACGTACGTACATCAGCTGTCCACTTTTTGTGGAAACAAAAGTCTTTCCCGAAGAGGTTTAACTATTTGCATGTCAACATATTTTTTCCCAAAAGGGAGTATGAACAAAACATGACAGCAACGCGTAAAATGCTAATCATAATTTATGACAGTTCAAAATTCAAAATATTACACGCATGCACAACAGTTGCAACTCTTTTGAAAATTTTTTTTTTAAAATCGTACCAAAGGGGAGAGAAAAAAAGTACAGGGACTAAATCTGCGGAGGCAACATTTACCAACAGAAACTTGCAAACCATCGCAATTTGGAAGTCACAATGAATAACCAATTCATGAATGTTCCTATGAAGAAGGCCGTTTACGCGTCAAGTGTTGTGGAAACGGGGAAGAACAAGCCGAACGCCGGTGGTCAGGGTGACAACAGCCAGAGTGCAAATAACCAGTATGCGAATACCCAACATGCGAATACCCAACATGTAAATAACCAGTATGCGAATAACCAACAGGTAAATAACCAATATGCGAATAACAAACATGCAAATAACCAGTATGCGAATAACCAACATGTAAATAACCAGTATGCGAATAACCAACAGGTAAATAACCAGTATGCGAATAGCCAACACGCAAATAACCAGTATGCGAATAGCCAACACGCAAATAACCAGTATGCGAATAGCCAACACGGGCAAAACCAATTTGCGCACAACCAGTGCGCGAACGGGCCCAACCCCAACATGCCCAACCTGAATTACAACTTCCCATACCCAAACATGCACAACTACCAGTACCAATACCCCATGGGTCCGCCCCAGCAGCAAATGCACATGTTCGCGAATGACTGGAAGAGCATCATGGCGCCCTTAAAAAGTTGCAGAATCAAGCAACAATTTGATGACAGAGAATTTCTAGCTGATTTTGTCATGGGATTCAAATTAGACTTTAACAATAGGTACTTAGTGCTAGATGCATCTACCGAACTTCTTAAATTCACAGCCATTGAACGTTCAGACTGTTGCAATAGGAACTGTTTGCCCAAATTGTGTATTCCGATAAATATGAAAATATTGACCTATGGAAAGGAATTAAGTCGGCCTGACATTATGGTCGAGAAGGATTGTTCGTGTACCATGTGTTGCTTAAATAGGCCAACGATTAAAATGTATGAATTTTCAAACAATAATAATAAGGAGCTAATAGGGACGATAAAAGCTCCCTTCAGTTGCTGCTCATATAAATTTGATTTATATGATTCTGCCATGAGCAAGATTATATACATGGATGACACCTGTTGTCAGCTTAGCATTTTATGTCCCTGTCCATGGGGTCCTTTTAAATTTAGCAATTTTTTTTTGCGAGATGCAAAAACAAATGCGAAGGTGGCTCATTTGCAGAAGGAAGTTCCCTTCTTGAAATTTGTAAAACGGGACATCGACAACTATACGCTCAACTTCGAAGAGGTGAAGAACCCGGAGTGGAAGATGATGCTCTTGGCCTTTTCGCTCTTTCTGGACTATATGTACTATGACAAGAAGTGAAGCGGGGGAAGCAAAATATAGGGGCAACTCCATGACGAGTCATTTTTAAAAAAAAGCTAAACTACCCTGCACACCAAGCAGAACAACAAGAACAAGAACAACAA